TAAGAAAGGACTTGTGTCGCTAAAGTTTAGTCGGAACGAATTTACGGAAAATTAACTAACGACCAGAGATGTAACAGTTAATTATGTGGTATTGTATAGTGTACTTTGTGTTTAGCAGCTTGTTAAAAGCAAAAGTAATAATTTAATATCTTTATAGAAAAAAAAGATAATTGTTGGTAACTCCTTATGTCTCACCACTTTTGGTATTACATAAAGTAAAACTTTAGGATATTTGTATATATATATGTGTGTTTTTTGGGGGAGGTTTCAATTAAGATATCTTGTAACAATAGGTGAACAATTTTCAAAACCTCTTGTTGTCTAAGTAATCTGACTTGAAATTGTTCGAGTTCTTTATTGTAATCAAATTTTTATTTTAATATCAGAAACACGGCTAAAAATTGATCGGAATCTTTATACACAAAAAATCTGTTTAACACTAAAACAGAAATTAATTAGTTCAAGGAGCTGTTGAAAACTTTCCTGTAATTCTTATAAGAAATTAATCATTTTGTTTTAGGCTAAAAATAATTATTGTATGAAATTTCATCGCTTGCTTTTGGGGTTTTATTTTTAATTTAATTTATTTATTGATTTTTATTTTTTATAGTACATACATACGTCGATAGTGTTACTTGTGATAGGAACAGCACCCGAAACTAGTGTTATTAAATGACTATGAATAACTACAGTCTTTCCTACGTGTTCGAGCTTTTCACTTTGGGAACGGGATTAAGAATTTCAAGCTTTATTCAGACTTGAATAGCTGCCTCCCAACTATTGTCTGGTGTCGCGGTTCTTTTCTTTAGCGGCTCAAAAGCTTTTATACCATTATCTAAACAAGCATACAGATTTGTGTTAGCATAAATATTTCCTGTTAATTATTAATGGTTTTCCTACTTAGAGTTGTAACGTTGTTCTTTGTTTTTATACCAAATATAAATCGACCGATCTAATTAAATTAGAATGTAATAGTTCTTTATCTATTGGATCATTTGCAGGTATGCTGATATTTGTAAATTCAATCATTTGTAATCTCATTCGTTAGCTTAAGGGCTCTGAAATTCTTAACAATAAATAAACTAAACTAGTAAACTTAATAAAATCAAATAATCTTATTGCAAGTAATTTCAATATATCCGAAGTTTTGGTACAAATGTCTGGAAAATAACAAGTAGCTATTGTTTCAAAATACCTTTTATCCACTTACCCTAATCCCTACAAACTGTTGGTGAAGGACCACCCAGGAGAGAAGATAGATGAAAGAAACATTGGAAGAGTACAGAGCCATGACGTCAGTGGTATCCAGGATACCGAGAGAGTATATTAACATGTAATTGGTCACGACCCAAAGGAGACAAAACAGTGAACAACGTCCAAAGAATTGTGCTGCCGTGAAGCCCTTTTCATGGAGCTCATTGATACACTCGCTGCCACAAAATAGATAAAAAAAAACGCGTACATTCAGAGACTTAATCACTAGAATAAAAGTACTTTTGAGAGTGAAAACCTAAAGGCAGTCGTAACTTTATGAAAAATAAAGCGATTCGTCAATTAGATGTTTTAATCACTTGAAAAAGTCACAAGTTCTATCAACAGTATCAGTACCATTGAAAGACGATTTTGTATATATATATATATATATATATCGAGCATGTAAAAACATCAAATCAACAAGTATTGAACTCAGGTGTTTAGTATCCTAGGTAACCTGTTTTAGATAGACAGGGAGAACGTTAAGATATCCTAAATAAAATTCATATTAAAATCAAAATAGTAATAGGATTAAAAAACAAACGTTAACAAAATGACCAAAGTTTCGTTCCTTTCGATGATGGCATCAACGTCAACGAAACGTTGAAATTTATTTTTATTTTAACCATATCCTTTTGAAACAGTTTGGATTTTACTAGCTAGATAGCTACAGATTTTACCATTATTAGATATTTACTTAAAACATTATTCACTGGTGTCCACATTTTTCAAAGTCCCATGGTAATTAACTATCACATATTTTAGTTTATTTTTTAAATTTAAAATAATTAGGCACGCCCACATTTGGTAGTTGTACAAGTACAACAACATTTATTAATGTAAGCTAAATCGTTATCAAAATGGGATTTCGCAACAACAAAAAAAAGAGGACACAACGTGACAGGAATTTTGTTTGAAGGAAGAGACAAGTAAATGATAGTTGTAGAGTATTTACATGTAAATCGTAATGGTTTTTCTTGCACTTCAATTTGAGAGTTACGTCACAGTTTATAGAGGCAGCGAGCCGTTCGTTTCCTGGTATCAAAAAGGTTGAGAAACGCTGCTGTAGGATGATAACGTAATGATTAGTTTTCGAGATTGCGTTGTCCGTCCTCAAATATTTGACATCTGTCATGATCAACTCTGATATAATTACCTTTATTTAGTATGCGCCTAATTTAGCGCCAGTGCACGTGGAAGGTGCTTGTGTAGGTGTTTAACGCTAGGTATACAAATCAAACTTTAAGCGCACTGGGTAGATTGACCTGGCAACGACCCGTTTCATTCGTGTTTTATGGAGTATTTTGAACGAGTGAACACTGGATTTAACCAATCCGCTAACGAAAGAGTGCTATAAAGATGCAAAAATAAAAGTCTCAACAAAGACTCCAAGTTAAAGTATTACCGTGATGATGAAATAATGGAGGCACACTCAACCGAGACCCTAATTAAAATATTGACACGATATGAAAATAATGGGAACTCTCTACACGCCTTATACAAATCAAACAAGTTAAAGCTACAACTCTTGGATATCTCTTTCCTCTGCATTAAGTCAATCTTTCCAGTCGGACACTCATCAAGAAGTAAAAAGTTTCATTCATACTGGATCGATTGTCATCAAGATTTCTAAACTTGCAGGGGAGTCTTTCCTTTTGGACTCTCATTATTATTTCTCAATCTGAGGTGGAAAGTTTCCTGCTGGATCGGCTCTCATCAAAATTTCTCAACTTTAATGGAAAGTCTTTCCATTTGGTTTCTCATAAGGATTTAACACCCTGTAGTGGAAAGTTGCTTCTGGATCAACTCTAATTAAAATTTCTGTACCTGCGATTGGGAAGTCTTTCCTACTGGACTCTCATCAAGACTTCTCAACTTGCAGTGGAAATGTTTATCCCAGCTGCTAAAAACCAGTCAGTCATCTACTTGCTGTGAAATGGTCACTCAGCTGTAGATGGGTGGTCACTTTTTAAGACCAACGGCTAGTATACGAACAACTTCGCGTATTCTGCTGTTGGTTCAGTTTCACGCACAAACAGCGATTGACCCTTAAAAAACTTCCAAAAACAAACATACTCGAAATAAATATAAATCAAAAGTACGATAAAATATACAAGTGCTCCATGACGACACCTGGCGATAAGAATATAATTCCAAACATTCATACTGAAATTATACACGTTCTAGTTCCGCTTCTAGCAACTGTTTTTAGTTAAAACTGCACCTACGTAAACAACTATACTGATATAACAAGATTGGGTGTTGATAGATCTGTCATTCTACGTGACATTTACCCCATCTATATCGAACCAATATTACCATCGAACAAAATCCGTAGACGATCATTATCCTAACGTTTCGTTTATTCTTTGAAACTGACAATCAACACAAAGTCGACGAGTCTCTGATTTTCACGTATACTTTAGCTACCCAAAATAACGAGTCTGTAGTAGTTCACGTTATTGTAAATTGTGATTGTATCTTCAGACCTCGTTATTTAGAGTTTGTGTTCTTTAATTTCTTTTAAACGTTAGAGATGATCGCTGGAAGTCATATCATTCTTCAGTCTTTCAAGATTAGAAATTTATTTAATCTCCTAAGGACATAGTTCTAAGATAAATATCAAGGGGCCAATTTACAACGAATGTCAAAACGCTGTTTACCAATCCAAAGCTCGGATTTCTCACAAAACCAAAAATATAAAAGTTGTCTATTAATATAATGTCAAATGTAAAATATGAGCTTGAGCATATTATGTCAGGTATAAAATTATTTTTAATTATACTATCGTCATAATGCTGGATTTCACCGAGAGTTTGAGAAATGATATATTTTTTTAATTTAACAAATAAAGGAATATTGTGAAAAGTGTTTAGTTTTGTAATAACTTTTTTATCTTCTACACCGTCTACTAAGGAAAGGCTACTTATTGCTCTCAACATAAATTTTAAATAGGAATTATTATTGGTTTAGTCGAGCGAAAGGCGCATTAGAGTAGTTCCTGCCCTCATTTGCTTTGTATTATTTTCTGGTACTAATTGTTTAGGGACTTATAACACTAAAATCCGAAGTTTCGATTCCCCCTGGTAGACAGAGCACAAATAGCCCATTGAGTAACTTTGCAATAAAACAAACAGACAGATTAATTGTATATAAAAAAAGAAAAGTTGGTGTATTCTACAATATTCTACTATACCATAAATTGTATATTATTCTTTGTTGTGTAAGAATATTGGTGCAGGTTGATCAAATAATAAATTAAACTCCTAGGCCTTTTTTTTCTATAATAATAAACTTTTATTTGTTGTGGGGTGGGTTTTTTTCAAGGATAACTAAATGTTTACGGACATCTAGGTCTCTGGTATAATGATCCGAGTTAAACTCCTAGGCCTTTTTTTTCTATAATAATAAACTTTTATTTGTTGTAGGGGTGGTTTTTTTTAAGGATAACTAAATGTTTACGGACATCTAGGTCTCTGGTATAATGATCCGAGTTAAACTCCTAGGCCTTTTTTTCTATAATAATAAACTTTTATTTGTTGTGGGTTGGGTTTTTTTGAAGGATAACTAAATGTTTACGGACACCCAGGTCTCTGATATAATGTAAAAATACAAAATCTAATGTGGTGAAAAGTCCTAATAAATTCATTGAAATACAATGCTATGACATCAGGAGTATTTTGCCTTCGCCTTTGATGAACACCTGCCTACCTTTCAAAAGCGATAGGGTTTTCTCGTTGTTCTCCCCAAATATGATTTACCAATTAACCTTTTTGATCCTATTTGGTTCTTACTAGTATTACGGCCTGACATACCCTGGTGGCTGGGACTCTCGACTCGCAATCTACGTGTCGCAGGTTCGAATCCGGGGGGACGTTATAATTAACAGTCAATCCTGCTATTCGTTATTGAAGAGTAGCCCAAGAGATAGCAGTGGGTGGTGTTGACTAGCTGACTTCCCTCTAGTCTAGCACTTCTAAATTAAGGACGGTTATTGCAAATAGTCCTTGAGTAGATTTGCAAGAAATTCAACAAATATACGGGCCTTTTATTTATTATCACAATAGCACAGCGGTACGTCTGAGGACCTACAACGCTAGAATCCGGGGTTTCGATACCCGTGGTGGGCAGAGCACAGATAGCCCATTGCGTTGCTTTGTGCATAACTTCAAAGAAGCAAACACAAACGAACTGTACTTTCAGTCAGTTGCGTTACTTCACTTATGTTCACGTAGCTAAAAAAAAAAAGAGGGCGCTACTGATTTTTAACTACTTTCATCCATGTAAGCCACTTAAGCTTTTTGCCGAGAATAAAGGTCGGAACCTAAAGTGCTTTTTTTAACTTCCAAAATATCAAAAGTTTACTCTTTTTTTTTTCACTGAGCATAACTTCCTTTTTTTTTTTCACTCATGTTCTCCATAATCGACATATATCACGCAATAAGTTATTTATCTTAAAAACATTCAGAATGTCGTTGTTCGTAAGTCATCAAAAGAAGTTTAAAATAGATAGAGCTGTAGAAATACAAAGAAATCCGCATTCGTATATATTAGTTAGAACTGATTTTCTTAAAGGGGCATATCAAATAATCCGATTCTCGGTCACGCTTCAATGGTTATCACTCGTCATACGTCTTTTTATAAAGTAGCAGGTTATGGTTTTACCAGCACTTAATAACTTATGTACACAAATCTATAAAAAAGTACTTTGTAGTTTCTAAATACATGCATATGCTACTTTCTAAAGCTATAACCATAAATGTTTGCTTCTTTCTGCAGATATGGGTTGTTCTTTTATAACATGTTGACTGCAGATTATTTAACAGCATATGAGTGACAAAAGCTGCACATAAGGTGTTCAATAATAATAATACAGGATGGCCCAAAATTATTTTTGCTATTTTAAAATTTAATAATTAAATAACTAAGGAAATACAGTCATGCACTCTTCAGCGTCTTGTAGCCCAACTCAAACAGTTTTTATTGTCATGTTTCTTTTCACTCCAATGATTAGTGTTACCTCGTAAAATGGCAACCGTGAAAAATAGGCTCAATGCATCGTTTGGCTTGTAGAGACCATGTCAGTAACTCTGGTAAAACGTAATTACAGACACTAGTACGGGAAAGAAGTATGGGGGTATGCTAAGGATATCGTGTATCGCACACCTGTAGCAAAGGAGCTAAAAAAGGATAATGGACGCCATCGCCACTGTATTTATAGACATGTTGCGGCGAAAATGAACTGAAATTGATTATCAGTTAGACGTGCTGAGAGCCACTAATGTTGTACACGTAGAAGTCTACTGACATTTCAATAAAAATGTTTGATTTAAGCTACAGGTTGTTGAAAACTGCTTGGTTGTATTTCCTATTGATTATTAAATTTTAAAATAGGAATGATAAATTTGGAACGCCCTGTATATATGAATAATAACACGTGCTCCATGGATTACTAAGAATTGCAACAAATATTCTAGGAAATTACACTCTGCAAGATGATTAACAAAATATGTTATGCAGATTGTTAAAGAATATGATTGACAAAATATGCCCTTCAAGTTGTTAAACAGTGTTAACAGCATACGTTATGCAGATTGTTTAATTAAAGAGTGTTGACAAATATGTGACATAGATTGTTTAGTGTCGACAACATACGTCATGCAGATTGTTTAAAAAGTGTTAACATATGTCACGCATATTGTTTAAAGTGCGTTGACAACGTATGTTACACAAATTGTTTAAAGATTGTTGACAACATATGTTACACAAATTGTTTAAAAATTGTTGACAACTTATGTTACGCAAATTGTTTAAAGATTGTTTACAACGTATGTTACGCAGATTGTTTAAAGATTGTTGACAACGTATATTACGCAAATTGTTTAAAGATTGTTTACAACGTATGTTACGCAGATTGTTTAAAGATTTGAAGTAACTGTGTTTGTAATTCATTTGGGTCTAAACTAAATCTATGACAATACTACAAGTGCTTTCTTTCAGCACTTGCCGGTTCAATATCCATAATGTAGGCTTAACTCCACTTAATGTTCTAACAGAGATTATAACCCTTGAGAACAAATATACATTTAGTACCAAAGGGCAATCAATGCTGACAGGGTTTAAAACTAGTTCATGGACTGTTTGTTTGTAGTTAAGCACTAAGTACACAATGGGCTATCTGTGCTCTGCCCATCACGGGTATCGAAACCCGGTTTCTAGCGTTGTAAGTCCGCAGACATACCGCTGTGCCGCTGGGGGAGGGGCAGTTCATGGACTAAATTAGCATTTACACTTTCTTGGTGAGAATATAGGGATTTGTATGGGAAATAAGCCATTTTAGGCAAAAATATAGGGATGTAGGGAGAGTTTCATAAGTATAGGGATTATGGGTAACGTGACTGGTGAGAGGGTTGTCTCATTGTAATATATAGATGTTGTTAAGGGGTTCAACTAGTATAAAACTGTTACAGTATAGAACATATTATTCTATAATGGATAACAAATCCCATACCACAACCAGCTAAGAGCTGAAATGTAGAGCTGTAGCAGTTAGCATCAGTCCAGCTAAGCTGATGATGGGGGATGCTATTTAATGAAGTTTTAAATTATTTATTTATTATCCTGTCCAACGAATATGCTTTAAATTACAATTAACTCCACAGCAAGACCGAAAATTATTGTAAACAATATTTCGCTATGAACGAGTAGAAATGTCTACGAACAAATGGTTTTGTTTTGTTTTTGAATTTCGCGCAAAGCTACACGAGGGTTATCTGCACTAGCCGTCCCTAATTTAGCAGTGTAAGACTAGAGGGAAGGCAGCTAGTCATCACCACCCACCGCCAACTCTTGGGCTACTCTTTTACCAACGATAGTGGGATTGACCGTCACATTATACGCCCCCAGGC